TCTCTGTGCTAATCACCCGCAGCCGTCGTGCACATGGACGTCAGTGTGTGGTTCCTGACACGCTCTGCTGTCATCTTCGTACCGGCTCATGTCCGCCCGTCAGAACCGGAAATTTTCCAAAAAAAAAAACTACGGAATTTTGCTACTCCGTACTAGCAATTCCGTACTGCTCCCTCCATTCCAAAATACTCCCTCCATCCGGAAAAAGTTGTCTCCGACGACATTTTGCGAAAATCACCTCCCCTTTCCTCCGACAAACAACACACTCCCCGCGCCAGAGCCAGAGCTCCCTTGCTCGTCTCCCCCTCGCCGGAGCTCCCCCGCGCCAGAGCTCACCTCCTCTGCTCCCCCGCACAGCTCTCCCGCGCGTCGCCGGAGCTCCCTCTCCCCACGCCACTGCCGCGTTGCTTCCCCCCTCCTCGTTCCTCTCATCGTCCCCCCATGGCGAATCACGGCGAGGAAGGCTCAACTTTTTTCGATCTGCTATCCGACGGCGTCCTTCCCCGAGGGCGGCGAGCCGGAGCTTCCCCTGTGCGTCGTCGACCACCTCCTCATTGGCTGGACGCCGTCGACCACGAACCCAGTATTCTTCAAGCGCACGCCGCTGTGTGGGTCGCCGAGATGCCGAGGCTGAGGCGGAGCTCCAGGCCATCGAGGTCGCGTACGCCGCCGAGTCCGGCAAGCGCCGCCAACTCCCAGACTGGTCCAAGGCACCCGCCCCCGCCTCCGTCTGCCCATAGCCCAACCCAGTCCCCTCGCCCCCCTCCTGCCAAGGTGCGGCTCCTCCCTCTTCTTGCCTCCCGCTTTCCCCTTCTTGTACTCCAAAATGCTTCTTTTGAGTACATTAGCTGTCAATTTAGTCTATCTTGAAACTTGGGAGCTTCTTTAGCAAGTTCACTGTAAAATTGAGTACAAGATCACGGAAAATTTTCTGGAGTGTATGTTCTGCAGTCACTGAATTTTCTCGAGTGCATGTTTACTGAATTTTCTGAAGTGTATGTTCACTGAATTTGGTTTTCAGTAGTGTTAAGAGTTCAAATCAATAGTGCAGGTTCGTGTACATGGCCACCCCCCATGGATATGCATTGGGGCGCTCCTGGGAGAGAGGATTCATGGCCATCCTAGCTAGCTGCTAGGTGGAGAACGTGTTAGGTTCTTGCTGTCCGTGGCAAAAGCTGGGGCGATCGAGTAGGAGTAGCTAGCAGTGTTTATGGTGTGTGGTGTAGAGAACCATGCAGATGTCATGGGCAGGCACTCATAGTCTAAATTTCATTGATGTCAAATTTTATTTATGTGTCAAGTTTGAAATCAACTTGACTGAACATCAACTTGTTCTGGTTTAGTGTAGAATCACTTAAGTAGATGGAGTAGTTATTTTTTATACTCTCATTGAAGACTGTGTTGCTAAATCGACATCAAGTTTAGGAACAAGTGTGTGTTCCTAAATAATCTTCAGTTTCCACTATATTTACTGTCAAGTCTGAAATTTTGATCTTTACTGTCAAGTCTGATTTGTCTCTGAACATTGGTTACAGCAAATTAGTGGTTAACTGGACATAAGGATTAGATCTTAGCTAGTGCTCTTTTCAGATGGCTTGTTCTCAAAATTTGGTACTCCATTAGAGTAACTTAATTCTCAATATTAACCGTTTCAGTTTCTAACAAGTTTCTTCCATGTGTTCTGAATTAAGTACAGTCAATGATCAAGTGATCTCTTCTCCAAGTTGCCTGAAATTGAATCAGTCATTTAGTTAACTTGGATTTTTTTTTCCAAAATTTGTACATTTAGTCAAGTTTCTTCCATGTGTTCTGAATTAAGTACACTATGGGATCATTTTATTTTACTGTAGATTTGCTTGCAACTGGTTTTAGAAGTATTGCTCGTTTTCCAATTTATGCTATTTTTTGATCTTTTATGCATAGTTTTATTAGAAGTATTGCTTGTCAAAAGAGTGTTTAGAGATTTTAGGGCTATGTCTAGAAAATCATACCAAGAGTACAAAAGATGAAAGGAGATCTTTCTTGTTGTGGCCAAAAGAAAATGGATGGATATACGTAACGTAGGAGGAGGATCATGTTTTCAGTGCCTTCGTACACAAAAGTAGGCAAAGTTTCTGTAAGAATATACTTAAATCAAGTTTATTCAGTTAACTAAATCAAGTTTATTCAGTTAAGGACAGAATTATTTTGATCAAGTAATTACTGTGACAACATTGCAACATTTCTTCAGAGTACATGATCAGTTTTGCCCCTTTTTAGTAAAGAGGTGCAGCAACTTTCTGGGATTTCTGAAACTTTAGTCACCGGGACAATATACAGTCACCTGGGAGTCACCTGGGATTTCTGAAACAATACCGCCACTTGGACAATTCAAAACAGTTAACTGAAAGTGTCTAAAACAGTTAAGTGTTTCTGGGATTTCTTTTTTCTTCTGCAAGGCATGATTTCTTTTTTCTTCTTCTTTTTTCTCTGGTGTGTCATGTCTTTTTTTAGACTAAAAGTGAATCAGAGCAAAAATCTTCTATGTCAGTGTGCTAGAAATAAGAAGACAAAATTGGACTAAAATGAATGACTGAAATTGGACAATTGGAAACTTTAGGCATGTTTGCAATTGGACAAATGGTGTATAAATCCAAATAAATCAAATAAATTCAAATGATTCAAATAATCTTAGTTTGCAATTGGAAACTTTAGGCATGTTTGCAATTGGATAAATGGTGCACACTTGTTTATTTCCTCTCTAGTGGCCTAATTCTAGTGGAACTTTGGTTGGTTAGTGCTCTTCTGTTGCTTTTGACTAATCTTAGTTTGACGGACCTGACTTGTGCTCATTTCCAGTGGACTTCACATTCCAAAGGAGGGACATAATCTGGAGTAATTGATTATTTCCAAAATCTGGAGTAATCTTCTCAAGTTACATGATCAGTTGTGCTTGACTGAAAATTTTCACAGGAAAATTTTGACTGGAGTAACAGAGGCATAACAGTACAAATTACAGGTATAGATTGCTCTGTTCAACAAACTTCCTATCAGTCCAACAATGTTTCTGAATCTAAACTTTTTCAGTTAACAGAACCTGAACCTGAACATGTTCAGTTAACAGAACCTGAACTTTTTAACCTTCCCTCTCCCTTTTAGGCGAATGTGGATGTTGCACACTATTGTGAAGGTGTAGCACTGCCCAATTAAATTTCCACTTCACATATCTACTTCAATTTCTACTACAAATTCACCTTTTCAACAGTAGACGCGGGGCAGAGAAGTCAGACGGCGAGGATGAGCAGAAGCATCAGACGGCGAGGAGGAGCAGAAGCATCAGACGGCGAGGACTCGATCTGGGGGCGTTGGCTTCGCCCAACAGCTGCAGCATCAGAGGCTGGAGGGAATCGCGGCGGCAGCAGAAGGAAGCGGCGGCCGGCGACTTGCCCAAATCCCGCACCGGCGGCCGCGGGCGCGAGGAAGCGGGCAGAGGATGAGGGCGCGGGCCGCACCGGCTAGGGACGCGAGCAGGGCGACGAGGGAGGTGCCTTCAGCCGTGGAGGAGGCGGGCATCCAGTTGGTCGCCGCGGAGGAGCAGTCACCTTCGTGTGGGCGGCGGCGCAGCTCGCCTTCGTGCAGGCGGCGCAGGCGGGCAGGGGCGCCGCGGATTGGCAGCGGCTGCAGGCGGCGCAGGCGGGTAGGGGCGCCGCGGATTGGCAGCGGCGGCGCAGCGGCGACGCAGGTGGACGGCAGCGCGCTGGGCTCTACGGTGGCTGCCGACGGCGCGCTGGGCTTGTTCCTGCCGCGGGCGTCCGGAGGAGGAAGAAGCAAAGGGGTAATTAGCAGGAGATTTAAAATCCTAAGGGTTTATTTGCAAAAATCATAATGAACTACGCCGTGGACAACTTTTCCCGGACGGAGGGAGTACTTGTCTTGATTTTGAACTAAAACCACGACAGATATTTTAAAACGGAAAGAGTACATTGCAAGCATGAACTTAATCATTTCCTTCCTCTCCGGCCTGGTCAACTCCATACTCACATGCAATCGAGAGAAACTGTAATATGTTTTCTGTAAATTTCTCAAGCTCTAAATGAGCCAAAAACCAATCATATTATGGAAAATATAGGATGGCTGAATATTATGTTGTATTGATCTGACCCGTGTAGAGGTATATATAGAGGTACAATGAAGGGGGAGAGACTTGGAGTAGAGGACAAGTTAAACCTATCCTATTTCTATCTCTTATCTCTATCTTAAACGTAAATATACTTCTAACATTCCCCCTCAGTCGTAGCGGGAGTGAAGCGGACGACTACGACTAAATTTGAAGTCTTGCTCTTTTGTCGTCTTCTCCGCTGCGCCATCATCCACTGCGTCTCTGATGGGTCAGCAGTTAGGGCGGTGACTGCGTCCCCTTCTGGTGCCTTCCTACCTTCTCCTCTATTCCCTCCCGCAGTCACAGCGGGAGTGTCGTGGACGCAAGTGACGAGGCAGACGCTGTTGACTGGAGTTTGTTGCCGATGAGTTGCTGTAGACGTAGCCATTAATGTCGAGGTAGCCGATCATGATGATGTAGCCGTGGTCGAGGTAGTCGTGGTCGATGGTGTGGTCGTCGTGGATGATGAAGCTGCACAAAGCCGGAGGCGCAAAAAAAAAAGCGCTATGACGGAGCTGCAGACGTGGACGATGCACCTTGCTGATGTCAGAGGGTGCCGTCGGCGATGAGTCCACCGATTTTGCCAAGACCGGAGGAAGCCCATCGAGAACACATCGGTTTTGCCAGAACCGTGTGGCCGTGTAGGGCCGTCACTGTAGTGACGCCGTGTCGATGCAGTCATGTCGTCGTGGATGGCGCGGCCGATGCCGTCGTCGTGACGCGGTCATTGCCGTCGTCAAGGTCACGTCTTGCAGAAAAGTCTGTCAGAGGACGCTAGGTGTCCATCTTGTGGGCGAGGCGGCAATGGCGGTGTGTTGATGAAGATGTTGGTGAAGACCATGTTGATGAAGACCTTGACGATGAAGTGTTTGTGATGGCGTTGCAGCGGCGTGTCGACGATGATGAGTCGCTTGAATGCGCCCTCGCGGCGACCAAATGTCGACGCCGTGTCACACCGTAGAAGTATGTTGGCTTGTAGCCCGGTGTAGTCATACAGCTGGATGCCGGCTCGATGCAGAGGCGTCGGTGTAGCCGTGCAGTACAAATCAGCGGCGGCGGTCGATGCAGCCATGCAGAAGATGATGTAGCTCGGCTCGGGATGTAGCGGTCGGTGTAGACGATGGTGTCGCGGGCGTCGGTGTTGGTGCAGATCGGCTCGGTGCAGATGTGTTCGAGAGTTTGCCCTCCCGTAATTCACGATGCGTGGTACTGAGGTGGCGTCGTGCATCGCCGCTGCTCGGTAGAGTCCGCTAGGATTTGCTTGGAGTAGCTCGCGGCTGGCTCGTCGATGGCTTATGGTGCCTTCCTGTGAAGATGCATGGCATCTTGTCTGCACGTGGATGGATGCACGCTATGAAGCCGGAGGTGATGCAGACGCATATTGTCGATGTAGATCGGATTGATGATGCTCACGCATGCAGATGGAGGCGTGCGCTGGGACGCGCGTATCAGCACGCCCGTAGCCGCATTAGCGTGTGCGGCCGCCTGCGTCGCCGGACGCTCGCATCCGCCGTACCGAGCCATGGTGTGGCCGTGATGCATGACAAGTATTGGGTCCTCCCATGCGTTCAGAGGTTGATAGCCGCCTAGTCGGATCGATTGGATCGGGGTTGCCGCCGAGTACGTGTGGGCCGTGTCGTCGATGAAGTCCGTGCCGGCGCTTCAGGTCAGGCTAGAGCTGGTATCGCCGTGGATGCCGTGGCGTCAAGGAAGCCAGGTAGATCGGTCCGAGCCGATCGAATCGGCGCTGGTGACGCTCGGGAGTCGAGGCCGTTGCCCTTGGATCTCTCGGCATGTGCAAAGCTAGCTAGCCCGAGGCTTGATCCATCACTGGCCAAACTACCAAGATAGCTCACGATGCGAGGATGCCGCACCGTCGCGGCCTGCCGGATCCAAGGTGCCGTACGCTTGGAGTCGAGGGAGCCGCCCAAAGCCACCAGACGGTAGGTCGATGCCACAGGTGATCGTCGACGCATACATCGATAGATCTAGGATTGGCCGTCGTTCGAAACACCAATTTTTGCTGGAATTTGAGGGTAGCAGGATTTATTTGATGGCTAATTGAATCGATCTAGTGGATGGATTTTAGAAAACTCGAAATTGGAAACCTATGAAATTATAATTGGATCTAACCTATCTAATGAACCGATTAATCTTTGATAATCGGATGTCGCGCCCCCGGGGAGAGAAGATTAATCTCCCCAGGGGCGGCGCTGCGGAAGTGGTGAAGGAACCTAGGATCGACGTCGTGAGACTAACCGCTCTGATACCATGTGGAAAATATAGGATGGCTAAATATTATGTTGTATTGATCTGACCCGTGTAGAGGTATATATAGAGGTACAATGGAGGGGGAGAGATTTGGAGTAGAGGACAAGTTAAACCTATCCTATTTCTATCTCTTATCTCTATTTTAAACGTAAATATACTTCTAACACATATTATATCTAAATGGTCGATCTTCACTAACAATAATTCTCTCAAGTCTCAACACGTAGCATCCCATTCACCGGGTCATGCATGTTTGCCACATCATAATTAATCCTTGGAGTTGTCCACGACATCCTCTTTGAACCCACGCCATCTCATGCTGTTATGCATGTGGTATGGAAAATTGATTGAAGTTGGCGCGTACAAGACTTTTTGGAGATGGCTATGCATGTCGTGCATCTACTGGCTATCGCATCCTCCATTCCCAAATATTGAAGCATTTTTTTTTTTGGAAAACTCTACGTACATTGCTATAAGATCTTTTACAGATAGATCTAAGAACATGAAAGAGAGGGAATACCATATGTTGGTGCTTGAAATATTATTCATTAAATAAATGAATTTAATTGCTAAATTTAACACAATTTTTGTTGGGTGCAGTAACACTATTTCATAGCTACAAGTATCTTGACGTTTCGGTAACAATGCACGGGGGATAGGGCAGCAGTGCAGCACTACAGAGCGAGCAAAATTTCCACGAATCTTGCACAGACCTGGTAATTCTACAGTTGTGTAGAGTCTGTTTCGACAGAAAAAACTCGGTAATCCTAACTAAGCTGTTCTCCACGAGGCTCCGCTGTTTACAAGCTTGGTATATGCATCTCTGAAGTCGGCGAAAAATTTATCCTGGTCCTTTGCATAGATATTGATCCACCTGCAAGCAGTTTAGTGTCTCCCATGTCAGTGGACCGATTACCTGACATAAATATGAAAGGAAAATCGCTAAGATCCATTGGCCTAGGTTTCCTAACTTTTTTTTAGGTCGCCTATGCTGCTTAGCTTATCACCAAAAGTTCAGTCAGATGGCAAATATGTTAACTCATTGATGCTTGTGTTTTAAAGATTGGGCAAACAAATGGTGTTTAGAAGATTGTGAATGATCTACAGCATGTTATAAGCTAGGGCCACCCCTAGAACTATTCATGTAAGCCATCGGTAAGCAAAGCTGACTGTCTGGTTCGATAGAATACCTTAAGCATTCATCATCTTCAGTGAGTGCCCAATCTGTGGGCAGCCCTATCGGCATGCCAGCTTCACACATGAACACCACACATAAGTACATTTACAAATTAAGGGATATTAAAGGAAATGGTGATAATGTCACAATGACTTACATGAAGTTGGCCGTGGCTTCTCAAGGAGTACTTTGAAATAGGCGTTATCAAAAGCATTTGGATTTCCAAATCCTTTACCCCCAATTGTGTGAGCTCCAGACAAAACGACCATCTCCTGTGTCCTGCCAAGCAGACATGGATGGGCACTGGCTGCTTTATGGAATCCTTGGCAGAATTCAAAGGAAAATCATATACAGTTATACAATTTTGGCCACCGGAGCTAAGTTTCATTAGGTAATATAGACAACGGAAATTCACAGAGGTTGTCGGACAAAAGCGAGACTCACGAAAAGCCCTTTTTGCCAAATGATGTTTTCAAGGCCACCACATCCAATGTTTCTTCAGGAAGTTTACCAGTAGGATCAGCAGTGCTACATGAGAAATGCGTTAGTTCAGAAGAATAATGACAAGCACTAAATAGGAACACCCCTGGAATAGCTAAAAGTTTGGTTAATGCTGTAAGGAATTTGTAAAATGCCAAGCCACTATGATGCACCTGGAATCTAAACGGCCTAATCGTATGGGAATTTCAGGCCCTCCACAGAGTGCAACTGCTTCAGCACCAGCCACTGCGATCAAGTCCGCCCATGACACTATAGAGAAACAGTAAAAGATTGACTCCAGGATACAGATAAAGTTAAGTTAAATAAATACAACACATGTGTAAAGCATAAACCTTGCTGAACCTGGTTGATTCCTTCTTTTGCTTTTCGTAGTATCTGGTTGGTTTTAAAGCAATCAACAGATATGTCAAGTTGATGTTCCTTGGTAGGATATGGCACTATCCATGACAACAAGCAAAGAAGAAATATGTGTTGTAAAGGTACTTTCTGAAGAGGAAAAGAACCTTTAAGGATTTACTAAGTCCTGCATTTTCAGGTCTGTCAGCTTCATAGATTATGGAGCCATTCATGCCACCTGCAAGAAATTGTCATCAATCATCAATGTCTCACTATTGTTTTCTACTTTGCAACAATCATTTTTTAGATATCTTCAACCTTAGCATATTTGAATTCCCAATTCTAGACCATTAGCCTTTTAAACACATGCAAACCTTGCTCTGTTATTAAACTTCGGTAACATATAAATAATATCTAACCTGATTTGTCACTAATATCAAAAGTCCCTGCATCATGGAAAACCAAACGAAGCACGCCAGCTGCTTTCACCTTGGATAAGACATTCCTCACACCGTTTTGAATAATTGATCCATCATATGAGTCAGCCCTACAAAGTCAATCCTAATTAGCGAACTTCTTTGTGATTATCATGGTGATGATGTTTAAAGATCAAGAAACAACTACCTCAAAGTTCATAGGGATGTTTAAAGAACAAGAAACAAGTTTGAGTATGTTACTCTGTTCTGAAAATCGATATTCTGGGTCATACTTGATTGACCAGTGATCCACTTCTTATATTTGATTCTAGTCTATGATTGTACAGTTCAACAAATTGACCATAAAGAAAATGCTCACATAAATGTAGGTTAATGGCATTAGTTTTTTTTTTTTTGTGCGGGGGAATGGCATTAGGTTGATAGGAACTCTATCTCATAGGTATGAGAATTAAGTACAACATAGGAATGTAATAGTGGCTGAATACTGTACTTACGCACTCGCCATATCAACATGAGGAAGTAGAAAAGGGAGCAGAGCAACAGCAGCAAAATCTCTCCTTCTATAACATTGGGTATTTGCAGGACCTGAGGCCACTATACGCAAAGAAAATTTAATTGGCCAACAACATATTAGCAGACTGGAAGAAAATTCTTAGTTCTTGCTGTATATTTGTTTTGTCAAATGGTTGGAACGCAATACAAGTTTATTGTGTGAGAAAATATCCAGCTGTAGCAACTAGCTAACCCCTCAAAACTAGTCTCAATCCTCAAACTCTAGGAGGGAAGTATACTCATTATCAGCAACGTTCTCATTGTACAGATTCCCCAAAGCAACAAAAAATCAGCAATTTGCCGATGTTCTCGGCATTACAGTGCTACTATTTACTGCGAAAAATTAGCAATGAAATGCGCCATACCTGAAAGGCTGTCTACATTATGCTGTTCAATGGGCTCTGGGCATGCATAAATAGAATCAGCACTGCACCTACTACCAGCAGCAAACGCTGTTATCACAGCCTTCCCAGTTCTTCTACTCCTGTAACACCACGACATCCACATGTTATTCGCCGTCCATGGTCGACCTGAGAGGAGGGGGTGCAAACATTACCTGCAGGCGCAAGGACTGCAGCTGGAGAAGAAGAAGCTGGAGGAGGCAAGATGGGGGGTGTTGGTGAGCTCCATCCCCTTCCTGCTCGCCTTGTTTGAATGCCAGTAATGGTTGCTGGTGCCCTGAAATGGAAGAGGAAAAAGACACAGCTCACTAGTCAGCCTATCTGTACCTGGCTATCCAGGTCCATGTGTGGTTCCCAGCTGACGGTCCCCAAGCAGGCACTTGGATAAGCCGCTTCAGTGGTAAATATCCATCCATCTATATTCTGTAGTGCTGTAAGAATATGCCTCTGAACTCCAACACTTGTTATCCCTGTAAATTCGCAATAGATTTTGAGGTGTTGACGGTATTTTATGTTCGCCGTGATGTCTTTTTTTTTTCACGCATGCTCCCATATGTCTGCCTACCATAACAGAGTATGGTTAATGTTTCTGCCTCTGAAAATTAACATCACAAAATTACCCCAAAATAGAGAAAATGCCAAAAAAAGAAAACTGTGGTACACAGAACTCAGAAAACAAACCAAGGCAAGATCTCTCCACCCAGATCGATTTAAAAATCATCATTGCTGCCCAGCAGTCATTTTCACAGAACAAGAGAGCAATGGCAGGTTTTTTCTGAAAGAACATCCATGACAGGAGCAAAGCAGTAGTGAACTTATAAAAGCAAAGGGCGACGAATTATCAATTACCGAGCACTTCAGTAACAGAAGTAATATAATTTACAAGAAAGTCATCATGTGTTCAAATGCGAGTTCTCTGCTGTAATATACATGGCAAAAACACATAATGAGAGAAGGTTACGGGCTTACGTAAATACTAGGTTACAGACTACACAAACACAATAGTCATCCTCAGAGCTACTAATAAATACTATCATATAGATTTGCATACAATACTTCTATCGTTACCGATGCAAGATAGCTGCGCCTCAAATTTACAGGGAAATATACATGGATCTGGCATGCAGCTTGCTTATGAGTCAGGACTCTTTGATGATGGACTGAATGGCACTTGGTCGGCACAATCCAAGTTATCTCCAGAGTGCTGAGCACCAAATCCCATCAAATCAAGATAATGTTGATAGTGGGATATAATGCCATTCATATTATCAATGGACCCTTTACCACAGATGGCATCACCATACAAAATGTTCATTGTCGCACCGAAGCCAGGATACCTCTTGGACAAAGTGTCTTTCTTGGTTGGTTTCCAGTTGCCAACAAAGACATCATGGGCTGATGGCTGCTTCCTCTTCATTGGAGTCATCCACCTCCAGATCGCTGCTTCAAACGCTAGCGTGGCATTCTGTTCCAATAACTCTGGGTGCTTCAACAGATCCTGCTTGATACCCTTACCCACAATACCATAGTTGTAGTTCCTGAGGATCATTAACAAGCAGATTCAAAATCAATAGCTAGACCCAGCCGGTTCCTAATTAACAACAAATGACAGAAGAACATATCAGCCTGACCAGTAAACAGGAAGGGCGCCTCGACCATAGTACTCAACTCCTTCAGCACAACGGTATAATTCATTGCTGTCGTCACAGTAGCTCTGGCTTGGGCTCATTTCATGGTTGTAGCAAAGACCCCAAGCCAATGAACCACCGTCAGCTAGACTATATCCACCTGTAGGAGTAACCATCCAGTAATATGAGATGCCACTCCTGATTATCACCTTTAGGTTAAGAACGAATCTTCTGAAGATCTCTAGTCAGTTGTACAGAATTATACTACAAATTAAAACTTGATGGGCAATAATTATACTGCTAACAATGCTTTGCAGATGTCAAGTTTCAAATCTGGTAGGAGCCATTCTGATGAAACACTATTCCAATGGAAACTAAATACTGTACTACCAAATTCACATTTCGTTGGATCCGGAAAGCCCACACATAGTTTAACCCTGGCTTGAAATTCATGAAGCCTATAGTTAAAACTGTTACTGGCAGATGTTGATTTCTCTATATCCCGGAAGGTGAATTAGAATGAGGAGCAGAGAGAAGAGTACACGAGGTCTTGGCGCCGACGTGGCCCAGGAAGGCGGCGACCTCCTTCATGCTCATCTCCCTGCCGCCGGTGGTGCCGAACCCGCGAGGCTCGTAGAGGGCCGCGGCGGTGATGAAGGCCCGGTAGTCCCAGAAGCCGGCGGCGTGGGCGAGGGAGTTGTTGCGCTTGGCGAAGAGCTCCTCAAACTGGTAGGCCTTGAAGTAGTCGGTGATGGTCTCGTTGCAGCAGAACCTGCTGCCGCTGCACTCCCACCCCTTGTCGCAGGCCGTCTCGCCGCCCTTCTGCCTCCTTGCGTCCGCCGCCGCGAGCAGCGCCGACAGGAGCAGAAACCACGCCGCCCGCACCATCCCCATTGCCGCCGCGGGACCGGCGCCGGAGGAGG